AGGAAGAGCATTACCAGCAGATCTAGAAAAGTGATTATTCTCCTTTATTCAGCACTGGTGAGGTCACATCTGGAGTATTGTGTCCAATTCTGGGTCCCCCATTACAGAACGGCTGTGGACCCTCTCCAATGTGTCCAGCGGAGGGCAACGAAAATGATAAGGGGGTGGAACACATGACCTACACAGAGAGGCTGAAGGAAGAGTGAGGGGAGATTTGATAGCAACCTTCAAGTCCCTGAAGGGAGGTTCCAGAGAGCCTGTTATTGGTAGTAACAGCATGAAAGTCCTTTCTGGCCTTAATCTACGAGGCAGAGATGATATGTCAAAGGACACACACACACTGAGGGGTTGCGACAGCTGGGAATTGAACCCAGAGTGCTATAAATCCAAGTCCAATGCCTCAACTGAATAAACCACCTTTCTTGTTTCCTGTCCAGGCTGTTAGAATGCATTGTCACATCATACCATTCCTCTCACCACGCTACAGAAAGAGACACACGAGGCAAACAGTAATAAGTGCTTTCAGAGGCTCAAATGGAGCCTGCTTTTCCATAACCATTTCACACAAGTTATAATTATCCTGTACTGAAGGCAATTTTGGTGTTTTTATTGCCTGTGCGTTACCCATGCCTGTAGCACCTGGGGCCTATCACATTCAATTTGAAAGCAACCACATCTAACACACACTAGTCACTAAAATGAATGATGCAAATCAAAGCTCACAATGAAGCCAGGCCTGGCTGTGATAAAACTATAAAGTGACAGAGGTAAGGGAAGCCTAGGACCAAACCCTGAGCAAGCACCGTTTCTAATAAATAGATGGTTAACGCAAAAGGACTGGAGTTTTGTGTTTTTGGGGGCCCTGTCACGTTTCCATTTGGGACTGCGCTCTATTGGGATCTGTATTTAAAACTCCAAAGAGCTTTTATTCATACCACATTAGTGCTCTTAGCTAAAGTCTTTTATAAGCAGGTGCATCACTATCTAAAGACGCATGCACGCCAGGAAAGGCATTATGATCTATGAGCTATAGTCATTAGGTTATCTGGAGCTTACATAAAGGGATTATTTGTGCACTGAGCTCTTGGAGGGCATATTGGAGTAGGGAAAAGATGAGAAACTCACTGAGTTTTGTCACAATTGGCAGAGGCTCAGGTTATGTGAAGCACTTTTGAATATATTTGAGCATCCAGAGGCCCATGCATTGCAAATTTTAGATGTTTTTCCTGATTTGCAGTGATTGCTACTGGTTGGGCATATTTTAGCCATTACAGTAATTACCCTGAACTGTGCTTTGTGTATTCCTTTAATGATTTCCCCTGCTATGCACATCCATAAACAAAGAGCAAATCTATATACTTTCCACTCTGAATGGCTTTAATTTTGGATGAAGAAAAAGAAGCAAAAGGAGGGAGGAAGAAAAGTAAAGTGTCCATGAGAGAATATGGTAAATCTGTTATCTTATATGCTACATCCACTATGCCCAACAAGAGATAAACTGGAAAAACTTAAACCATGAATAGTCTTGTAGCACCTTAGAGACTAACAAAAATGTAGATGGTACCATGAGCTTTTGTGGGCACAGCTCAAAGAAGTGGGTTGTGCTCATGATACCATCGACATGTTTTGTTAGTCTCTAAGGGTACGTCTATACTGCATCCCTAGTTCGAACTAGGGATGCAGTATAGACGTACCCTTAGAGACTAACAAAACATGTCGATGGTATCATGAGCACAACCCACTTCTTTGAGCTGTGCCCACAAAAGCTCATGGTACCATCTACATTTTTGTTAGTCTCTAAGGTGCTACAAGACTATTCATGGTTTAAGTTTTTCCAGTTTATCTCTTGTTGGGCATAGTGGATGTAGCATATAAGATAACAGATTTACCATATTCTCTCATGGACACTTTACTTTTCTTCCTCCCTCCTTTTGCTTCTTTTTCTTCATCCAAAATTAAAGCCATTCAGAGTGGAAAGTATATAGATTTGCTCTTTGTTTATGGATGTGCATAGCAGGGGAAATCATTAAAGGAATACACAAAGCACAGTTCAGGGTAATTACTGTAATGGCTAAAATATGCCCAACCAGTAGCAATCACTGCAAATCAGGAAAAACATCTAAAATTTGCAATGCATGGGCCTCTGGATGCTCAAATATATTCAAAAGTGCTTCACATAACCTGAGCCTCTGCCAATTGTGACAAAACTCAGTGAGTTTCTCATCTTTTCCCTACTCCAATATGCCCTCCAAGAGCTCAGTGCACAAATAATCCCTTTATGTAAGCTCCAGATAACCTAATGACTATAGCTCATAGATCATAATGCCTTTCCTGGCGTGCATGCGTCTTTAGATAGTGATGCACCTGCTTATAAAAGACTTTAGCTAAGAGCACTAATGTGGTATGAATAAAAGCTCTTTGGAGTTTTAAATACAGATCCCAATAGAGCGCAGTCCCAAATGGAAACGTGACAGGGCCCCCAAAAACACAAAACTCCAGTCCTTTTGCGTTAACCATCTATTTATTAGAAACGGTGCTTGCTCAGGGTTTGGTCCTAGGCTTCCGCACGCCGCGGCTGTCCCGCTGCTGGCATGCTCTGAGGCTTTGCTCCCCATCTCCCTGGTCTGCTGGTCAGACCAGGGAGACGGGGAGCAAAGCCGTGGAGCACACCCGCAGCGGGACAGCCCAATCCCTGCCTGGCCCCCAGAGAGCCACTGCTCTGCCCTGTGCTTGCCCCAGCCCCTGCTGCTCTAGAAACGGCCTCACCTCCCGCTTCAGGCCAACCAGAAGCTAGGTGGGCTCCGCCCCCAAAGGCCGGATGGAGAGAGCTGATTGGCTACAGCTGACAAGCTGCTTATGCTGTAGCTGATTGGTCGCCAACAGTGGCTGAGCTCCCGCCCTTTTGTTTCCGTAGGTCACGGGGTGGGGGAGCTCTTATTTCATCCCTTGCTCACACAGTTTCCAATCGGGCCCCACCCCAGCTCCGCCCACCTGGCAGCGGCCCCGCCCGTCGCTCCGCCCCCTCCCAGCACTCCAGAGCCGGGAGCAGCGGGCGCAAGGCGCTCTCGGGCTGGGGAGGGGTAGAGCGGGGGCTGTTTTGTCCTGGCCCCGGGGCTGGAGGCCCCTCTGTCCCGCCCGGCTGAGCAGCTGGGAAGCAGCCCCAGCCAGGCTGAGCGTTCAGCCGCGGGAGCCCGGGGTTGCAATGCCCATCCCCGCTGTTGCTTTTCCCCGCCCCACGTGTAGCGCTGGCTGCGGCCTGTAGAGAGCTCGGTGCCCCGCTCAGCTGGGCAGCGCGGCGAATTTGAAGGGGCAGGGAGTGGAACCTGCAAGCGGGAAAGGATGAAGGCGCAAAGGAGCCGCTGCACGTAGGGCAGCACCGTTTCCTAGTGTGATAGGCTGAGGGGGGGAAGTGGGGGTGGCGGTGCTGTGTCCCACCTACCCCACCACACACCCACACCTGAAGTGGTTTCCATGCTATGCAGGATTTACAGTTTGGTTCAATAGCTCCTGCATCCCCACCTGTAACAATTGTTCCAGCACCACTGACCAGGTGCTGGACCTGGGAAGCTTGCAGAAGGGAATTTACTGCAATAGCCACTGCTGAGATGGATGCAAGGGGGAGAGTATCAGCAGCTGCTTTGAATTATTGCGGACTTGGAGGAGAAACTGCAGTTTTTGCTAGTAAGACACTCATGCTCACACACGAAACAGAACTTGGGAGATCCCAGGACCTCTGATGTAACTACACTGCAATTAATAGAAAGGAACTCTCTCTAGGCCAGAGATTATAGGGGATCCTAGGGAAAATTCTCTCCTTTAGCAGGACCGTTAGCACAGGTTTCACTAAACATGACACATTTCATCCATAAGGATCCCAGAGCATTTTATAAACTGAGGGTAAAATGTTCCATTCTTATATGCCAACCTGACTGCTAAATGCATCTTTTGCCTTCCTTACAAGTATGGTGTTCTCCTGTTGAACAAAGCCTGACTATTGCAGGCATCAGAGATCCCCTCTTTTGTTCTGTACCTACTGTGTAGAGTTTATTCACATCACAATGGACCATGGCAGTTGTTCTGAGCTAGGTCAGCTACAAATCAGATTTATTATTACAGTTAAGGAGAATGGAAAATAACTTCTCCAAATGAAACTGCAGAATATAGTTAGTTTAGGCAAATGTAATTATTCAAACCAGAATTTGGCCAGGACACTGGAGCTGTCAGAGGATCTTTAATTAAGCCACCCAGAACCAAACTCTCACCGTTCTAAGCAGGAACAACTCCACTGATTCCAAAGAAGCTGCATCTTTTTTCCACTGTGTTGCATTTGCCTATGGGTGGGTTTCAGGCCTCTGTGTAAAAACTGGCATCTCCAATGATTCTGAGTTTGGAAATTGTTCCTCCAGTTGAAGTTGAGGTTTTTTCAGGGTTCTAATGTGCTTAGTTAATGTGACTCCTTCCCAGGTTACACAATCCCATTTTATTATCTCTTAAATATAAATATTTGATTTTGGAGCTGGGTGAGTTTGATAACAAATGTCTACTGAAAGCACTAATATTCTTTCCTTATCACCTTGTCCTCTCCTCCTTCAAAACATACAAATGAGCCATAAATGAAATATGTTTGTTAAAAAGGTCATTAGATTTCCTCCTCCTTCTCCTAGTGCCCACTAAAATTCAAATAAAGGTTGCTAGCTTCCTTGTTTATTTTCAGTCTTGAATACACTCAGGTATCGTGGTGTAGTAACCTAAATGGTCTAGAATAAATCAGTTCACTAAACAGTCCTAGATATAGGCCCAAAATTCCTAGATTCAAATCCAGGTATGGGTATGTTTCAGAATCTGATACAAATTTTGTAGCTAACTCTTTCTGTCCAAACCATTTGGTTCTAAACACGTCTGAATATTGGTGTGGGGCTGGAATTCAAATCTAAGTTGCGCTCTTTGGGCCTATCTGTGATAACTATAATTCATGACATTTCAGCATAACACAAAAATACTATCCCCGGCAGAAAAAGATTTGTTTGTTTATTAATTTTCATTGCAGTGTTTGTTTTCTAAATGACAGGGGATCATTTTATTTTCATTTTGTTTTAAGATAAGTTGCTGGTGATCAAAACAGGATTTTTTCTCCCCATAAGAGAAGAGCAGCAGATTGAGAGTTACTCAGATACATGGAAAGTAAATATCTTCAAGAAGCTTCTACACGGTATGAAAATCATAGCATGTTTGCAAGAGTTATGGGGTTCTCCGCTCAATTCTGATGCAAGAGCTCAAACCATCGTGCAGCATAACCACTGTGCGAGAAAGAGAAAATGGAGTTAGAGTGTCTGGAAGGTTCATTAAGTGTCATTAGTGGGGCCATATGGGCCCTGAAAGGAAACTATAAATCCAAACATCACTGGGCTTCAGGAAAATTGGATTGGCATCTAATCTCTCTTATGGGATGAACCAAAAACCACAGATCGAGCTGCTCTTGAATTTTGGGGAAGTTCAGAGCTGGAACAGTTTCTCTCTGGGGAGAAGCAAAAGCTACCAAAAGAGATTTTAAAAAATCTTGGAGCCAGAGTTCTCCCATATCTTAACAGGATATGACAAACTGCACCCACAGTGGGGGGCCTCCTATTCATTCTTTCATTTGGATTTTCCCTGTGTTTTGCTCCATTTCCCTTCTCCCTCCATTTGCATTTTGCACTACAGAAGAAGGACTGGGCCTCATTATTTTTGCACAGCTCTGGTTTGAATAATGAAAACTCTTAAAAAAAGACACAAAAATTTTAAAAAGTTCTTTTCCAGGTGCTGTTAGGTCATTTAGTTCACCCTCTGCCTGTGCACGAATTGTTCCCTGCTGTGCTTTGTCTGCTCTTCTTCGAAAGAAGAGAATGAAAATACCTATAAGGATATCGTCTCCTAGAAAAAATTGAGGCATTTTGAATAAATTATCTCTCACTACATGTGTGGTAAGTGTTCATTCTCAGGAAAAACTGACTTAGGAAGAAGAGCTGTTTGTCTGAAAATATCTCTGCTGTGGCTGAATCTTCACTAGGTCTCCCATTTGAATCACTAATTAATTTGTTTATAAATCTGATAATGGATTTCCCAAGGAAATATGTTTTAAGTGTGACCAGTCACTGCAACCACAGGATAGTTTTTACCTCAGCCAAAGAGAGCTGGACAACACCATTCTTGTCTTTGTCTAGAATCTGGAACATTTCTGAAGAACAAAAGAAGGGAATAAATAAAATATCAGTATCTGACAAAATGTGGAGGTGTCCCATGTTGGCCTATTCAAATCTGGATTCTGGTGCAAATCTTTAATCACAGGTACATTATAAATTATTTCCTTCCCTTCCTCTTAACTATCATTCATAAACTACTACATGGGACAGCATATCAGATGGGACCCACTATGGCCCATTCTGTGTTCAGAACAGGACAGCCACAAAACATCCTAAATTACTCAAGCACTGGTCACTACACATATGTAGGGATGCACCCATGAATCTGAGATGTGAGCCTGGCCTATAGAAGAAATACTATATTATTAGTATGAGATGTGAGAGCAGAGCACAGGAAACACAGTGCATACGATTGTAAGTCATAGGTGGAGTAAGAAAAGCATTGCACCACCTTGGAAGTCACCCCAGTGATAACTTAAATGGAGCAGTTCCCATTAAATTGCATTCATTAAATGGCACAAGTGAATTCTCTGCTTCTGTCAGCCCATTTCTATTAGCAATCCCCCAAAGAATCAGACTGCACATGATCTATTACACTGGGTGTTTCTTCAGATCGTACAACGGGAGGGTAGATGGTTACTTCTTTTCCTCTCTCCCACAATCCTATAATACAACAGCTTGCTAAGTGGCTGATTAGATGCAATATATGATTTTATAGCAGCCATACAAGCCCAATAAGACTCCTTTGCTACCCCCAGACAAAGATTTCCACCATTTTCTCAGTGTGAACACTGAAGTTGTTATGAACCAAGTTGTAATGAAAAGAATAACCTGCATCATTGACACTGTTACAAAGGGCTTTGAACTGATGCTGGACAAACCTTGAAAGGATTAGGAGCAGGGCCGGATGGAGGCATGGGCGAGCCGGGCAGCTGCCCAGGGCGCCAACCAATGATGGGCACCTGATGGCAGCTGTAAGAGGCGCACGGCATCCCTTACAGCTGCCATCAGGAGCCATGCGCCCGGCACCTGCAGCACCGGCCCCGAGGTGCCGGCCAGCAGCATCCTCCCCCCACGGCTGCAGGGCCCTGCACGGCCTGGCACCCGCACCAGCAGCATTGGCCAGGCCAGGCTGGGCAGCGCATGCGCCGTGCGCCCCAGGGGTGGGTCCCAGGCTGTGCGCCAGCGGCCGTGACCGGCCTGCGCATGCGCCGAGCGCCCCGGGGGCAGGCCCTGGGCTGTGCACCAGCACTGGTGGCTGGGGGGGC